CGCTATGAGTTGGATCTGACTCCATGGCAGTGAGTTAGATTTTTTTTTTTGTTATCTCTTCAGAAGTATCAGTCTTCCTTCCGAGAAGTGGCTAGTGGGTTTGAACTGCCACCCTTCTGCTTAGCAGTCAAATGCCTTAGACACTACATCTAAGTTTTATTGTGATTTGAATTGCTCCTTTTTAAAATTATATTATCTATTTTATTAAAATCTTCACAGCAGCTCTAAAAAGTTCACAGTAGTTTCTAATGAGTGCCAAAGAGTTCTATGTAATCAGTAAAGTACATAATAATAATAATAAATTGAATTACAGACTCTAACAAATATGAATAGAAATGCAACATGTGCTGTAGGAAAGCCTTTCAATTAATGGCATGTGTTACTATTTAATAAACAACATTCACTATCCAAAAACAAAAAAGAGCTTTATATGTCTCTATTAATATGTCTATTATAGACTAAATGTGCTGTTGTGTGCCATAGAGTCACTTCTGACTCATTGCAACCCTATGGAACAGAATAGAACTGCCTCATGGGATTGCTGAGGCTGTAATCCTTATGAGAGGAAATCATCAGATCTTTTCTCCTGAGTTGCCAGTTGCCACCAGTAGGTTCAAAGCACTGGTCTTTCAGTTAGAACCTGAGTGCTTAATCCTTGTGCTACCAGAATTCCTTGCACTGAATCAACTGATCCCAACTGAGCATTCTATAATCTGTGTTGTTGTTGGTGTTATGTGCCGTGGAGTCGTCTTGGACTCATAGAGACCCCACCTTGGGTTTCTGAGGTATCACTACGGAAGTAGATTGCCCAATCTTCTTTCTAAGGAGTGGCTGGTGGGTTTGAACCACCAAACTTCTGGTTAGCAATCAAGTGCCTTAGGCACTATGCTACATTTGTAAACTTACAGCAAATTGTGACTGTTCTAAATTTCAGCAAGTGAGAAAGTTTCTCATTTAAATCACATTTACTTACATATTCTTAAAAATTGTACAACCTTTGAACTACACTGAAAACTAGTTTTAGATAATGCAGCATATATAAACATGAATTAATTGGCTTAATAAATCCATACCATTCAGAAGATTAAATAATTTTCTCTGTGTGAGATAGCTTAGCTGTTAGTTTACAAGCTTATAAACCTTATACTCAGAGAAAGAAAAAGTGTGATTCTTACTTTCCTCTAGTTGTTTCAAAACTTGGTGTTTGATAGACGGTTCCTTGGCTTCCACTGCTGTCACCTCCGCTGAGAAATGTCTCCCGTGGAGATCTATTTCCCATACTTCCAACTGAGAGTAGGGAGCTCTCTTGTTGATTCGACTTCCTGGCAAAGCTCTGAAGAAATTTCAGTGTAGAGTTGGAGAGCACCACTGATCCTGCCCCAGGACTGAATCTGATGCTAGATTCTGTCGGGAGGGCAAGAGATTGTAACTTTACCACTCCTTCTGCCTTCTCTTTGGATGTGAGAGTTTGGTTTCTCTCAAGCTTGGGAGGTGCACTTTTCTCTGAGGGAATCAGTGTTGATTTTAGAAAGCTTTCTTCAGAGGTTCTTGCCTCAGGAGTTGTGGCTACTTCAGCTGACATGGTCTCAGTGGTTGGTAGCATTTGAAGACTTTGTGTTTTGTTTAGAGAAACCAAAACAGAAGTCACATTCTTCTGGGAATGTTCATCCGTAGGTGTAGTCCAAGTATACGTAGTGCTGCTAACTCTAAGTCCCGCACTCCATAAACTAGAAAGCAGCACAAATAGACTTGCTGTCTTCATTTCAGTAGTTCAGTTTGTAGCAAGAAAGTTCACGTGAAATTGGGTGACAAAGTGCTTCTAGCCTCTTCGATAGCTGCTGCCACACTGAATTTGCTCAGACAGAGCTTTGCCAATTTGAGATGTGTAGAGGAAACAGGTTTCTGTGTTTTGTAGTGGACTACGGAAGTTTGATTTCCTGTTTCTGTAGGTTTTTTGTGACCTCTGACCTCTGGTAGGATGACTCTATGAAAGTGGTGAAGAGTCTTTGATGATGCTAAGGTTAAATGGGAAAACACAAGCAATTGTTATCAGGACAAACCATGATGAAAACATCAAATACCTTTCCTTTCCTACATGCACTCAAGTTTCATGTGCCACTGATTTAAAAGAGAAATTTTATGCTGATGATGAGTAATACAGAATTTTGTTTAGATGAGTGGAATCAAGGAATTTAACATTTTGTTCTTCTACACAAGGAAATGGCAAAAAATTGTGACCATTTTTTGCCTTTTTCCATTGTGCTTTACCCAGAGAGCTACATTTTGTATACACACACACACACACACACAGACACGCACTCTAATATTCAAGATAAGAGTTCATTTACAATGTTTCTGCTCTTTCATATATAACAGACTAAAAGATTAAAAATATATATAATTATATATTACAGATAAACTTCAGCTGTAGCATTATTTGAAATTAATCCCAATGATAATAGATAATAAATAAAAGCACAAATAAATGATTTATACAAGTATATACAGAACTCATTTTAATTTTTGCTCTCAGAACTTCTACCAGAGTAACTAACTAATAAAATGAATGTTGTTGTTATGTGCCCTCGAGTCATCTCCGACTCATAGCATCCCCTCCTTGGGTTTCCAAGGTGGTATCACTATGAAAGTAGATTGCCCAACCATCCTTCTGTGGTGTGGCTGGTGGGTTTGAACCACCGATCTTCTTGTTAGCAGTCAAGTGCCTTATTCACTATGCCACCAGAGCTCCCAAAATAAAGATGAAGGATTTTAAATTGTCTTTTTCCCAATTCTTATCCTCCAGTGGTTGAGGTAATAAATATTTTACCATCATGGAGTGGATAAAGAAAAAGAAGAGTCATGTGTAAATAAGTTAAAATGGGATTATACAAAACTATAATTGCAGATAATAATTGATCAATCACTTTTCTACAGTTGTTCTAAAAGAAATGCTTTATGTAATTTATAATTTCACTTCCCCAAATCTCTAATCCATAGATTTCATTTAATTTCTTTCACCTGTGAAATTCCATGGAAGACTCCTTGGATGTATATGTTACTTAAGTTATAACAATTCTGTCCTTCATTTATTCATCCATTCAGTCATTACTCAATGCCAGTCTGTACAATACATACTTTAAAAAAAAAAGTAAGTATGGCCTTTTTTAGGAATTTGAGTTTTATTCTACATTTTTCTTCCATTCTTTCTGGGACTTTGTGTTGTATTCCTGGTCAGAATGATCGGCTGGTAGTGGTAGCAGGGCACCATCTAGCTCTTCTGGCCTCAGGTTATAGGAAGCTATGGTTTTTGTAGACTATTAGTTCCATGGAACACTGTGCTCTTTTGGGTGTTGGGAATATAAAGGAAAGCAAGAATATTCTTGGATCTCAATTTGTTTATAATCTACTATATGGTATTTGAAGGGTACATCCATCTGTAATAAATCTTCCTGTCAATTTTGTGCCAGGCACTAGGGTTTTACTGCATATTCAGCCACTGAGTGTTTCCAGAATTAGAAAATTGGAAACCTGGTCTCTGGCTATATAATGTTATAAATATGCACTAGTCATCCCTAATCCTGCATACAGAACAGTAGGATTTGAAACAAGGACTAACTACTTTTTCCTGAAATACTAACTACTTTGTCCTAATCCTCCCCCCAATCTCTGACATTTATTTCTATAGGTATATTTTTGATGCATTGGAAAGTATATCATAAGGGGTTAGTTTAATTAGCACATGTGTTAATCAGCAGTAACCACAATTGACATTGATGTGTAGTTCAAAGTGTCTGCCACAAAACAATCCCACAAACGCTACATTAGTAAAAGAGCAATAAGGTGCAGACACAGACAACCGACAACCCGGGCAGCAATTAGTTACTGCTGTTGCTGTTATGTGCGGTGGAGTCGGACCTGACTCATAGTGACCCCTCCTTAGGTTTCCAAGGCAGTATCACAATGGAAATAGATGGCCCCATTTTCCTTCCAAGGAGTGGCTGGTGGGTTTGAACCGCCAGCCTTCTGGTTAGCAGTCAAGTGCCTTAGGCACTATGCTACTAGAGCTCCGAATTAGTTACTTAAAAAAAAGAAAAAAAGAAACTGTCTAATATCCACAAGACAAATACTATCTTCAGTACTGAGTAAAAGATATTCTAGATTCATCCTGTGGAAAAGACAGAGCAGCAAAATTTAGCTTTGAGCAGAAAAGTGACTCAGTAAAATCCAAGTAAATTTTGGGCAAAGGAGGTTTAGTCAGAATGATGAAGTCCAGGTATATAAAACTATATCTATTTAATATATAATTTTAAATCCACTCCCTTATACTTAGTAAAAGTAGATGAATAGATGAATAGCCTGTTCCGAGCATTTAAGAAATAACCAGAATAAAGGAAAACATGGATTTTTTTTTTTTTTTTTTTTTTATTTTTTTTGTCTTTCCACAGATGTAGTCCATTTTTTCAGAAGTGAACTTCAGTGGTGAAGTGTCACACATTGGATCTATATTTGATAGCAAATAGCTATCAAATGATAATAAAAACTGAACTGAGCTAAGTGATTCATTTCACCTCTAGAAAGGTATTGATCAATAATGACTTTTAGTCACCATCAGCCTAGCTTACAATTGACCTTGTGATCAGAAGGCTAAAGGTGCTGTATCTCATTATCAACCCACTAAGCCATCTTGTGCTGGAACTCCCCAGAGAATCCCCAGCTCATTTGATGGTCTTATGTGTATGGATCAGTCCTTAATTGGAAACATAAAATATCTATACTCCAGAAACCAAAAGAGGCCTAACCTCAAACTCTACTTCCTGAGACTCATTAAGACTCATCAAATCACAATTAAGAAAAACAATATTCCTGGGAGGACTGTCTATAGTATACTCAGTCCATTCACCCTTCTAGACACTCTCAATATTACCCTTAGGTTAAAATATACTGTTAAAAGTTTTTTATATCTGGACTTCATCATTCTGACTAAACCTCCATTGCCCATTAGATTGTGGATATTAAATTATGTTTATGAAGTTTTTACACAATTTTTCACTAACATAAACATAGGATTGACTATGTATTGCAAAATTGGTTATTTCTAGGTGATAAGATAATAGATTCATTTTTCTTTTATCCCTTATAATAAATACAAATTAATTGCTAATTGCAAGTAAAATTATGTTTATTAAGTTAAATAGAAATACAAATAAGACTTAAAAGAGAATCTTAGATTAGGGGTTCATTATTTGTAGATTTTGCCAAGTATTATTCAGAGCCATTATTATTGCTGCAGGAGTCTTTATTCTTTCTAAATTGTTTGAAGGAATAGAACAGATTCTACTAGATTAAAAAGAAATCTTTACAACTTCTTTCTTTTTACAAGTGAGAAATTACTTTTTAAAATTAGTTTAAAACTGCTTAAATAATATTTCTTATACCACTGTCCTGTCAGTTGACTCTATCAAATATAATTAAAGAAAAGAAAGCTTCAAGTATGTTTCAATTTTGGTTGAAAAATATCTTAAAAATTGTTAAATTTAGATGCAAACAAGGGAAGTTGAGTACAAAGCAAAAGGACTGAGGAAAAGAGAGGAATTTTTTACATTTTGCTTTGGGTGTATACAATTTTCAAAATTCATTGAATGCTTAAGATCTGTGTATCTTATATGTAAATTATATGTTAATATTTTAAATGAAAGAAAAAAATTTTAGCAAGATTGCAAATCCAGAATATTTGCATCGTCCTAGTATGTTTTTGATCTTTCTTAAATCAAATATTTAATCTTTCTTTTAATAAATACAACAGTTCCAATATCTATATTCTTCTGGAGAGTGGAGATTATCTTCATGGCAGAAACTCAATTTAAATTAAATTGATATTTACCAAAAATTCCTAGATTCCTGGAACATGGAATTGGGGGGAGAAAATAGAGCCGGGCTCTAAGAACACTATTGGAAGCAGGATGAAAATCCCAATCTTTCTATACCTCATACTGTCATCTAGCATGTTTTCTTGAAATCGTCTAAACTCAGTAACAGTTTAGAAGAATTATTCCAATTATATTAAAGTAGAAAATATTAAGAAATACATACCTACCTTTTATTGTTAAACCAAGATAATGCTGATAAAAACCGTTCAATATCAGGAATTCAGGAATATGGATTTACAAACAACAAAAACCTCATAATAAGCAGCAAAACAGCAATTTAACAATTCCTTTTGTTTTTCATCATGAAAAAAATCTTCTTAAAGTAGAAAGATTGATAGGCAACAATATCATCCTATTTGATAGGAATTAAATTAAAGAACTATGGCAAGTGTATTGAAAATTTTTGTAACACATGAACCTCAGGAAAATAGTAAACTACATAATCTGAAAGAGTTACTTTTCTTAAGTAGAAAAGTGGAGAGTTACTTTTCTTAAACGGTTAATATAATATCCCAGCTGCTGACAAACTCTCATTAGTAATCCATTTTAGGAAATGACCAGATGTTGTATGTAAACAAGTGTTATAATCAGAATTATTACATTATAGTCTATGCATAATTTATTATAATCAGCAGTTTCATCAGTTGTATCATTACTGTTCAGTTCTCAAAAGCTGAATCACAAGTTGAAAGGTAGCCTGCACAAGTGGATCCAGTATAAAACTTGTAGCAATACATCAGAAAGGTATACATTATTTAACTGGGATAAAAAAAGAAATGAATTGATTCTGAATGAGCTATTGCTAGAGTTGTAGTTATAGTACTTACTAGAATAA